GTTTGGTCAAAATATTAATTTCAAAAGGCTGAAATCAACTGCAAAATAAACGGCAATCTAAATTATAATCTTTTGCTTCACAATAATAAATTTAGTAATGCAGATTTCAATGCTTAGAATAATTCTGAAAAAAGATGCATAGTCATTAATGACATTAGTTATGACTATTACTGCAGAAAAATATTTTATAAATAAAAAGCTACCACCCACTCCACCCTCAGTATCCTACCCACCAGAAAAAAACAGACCCTAAAAAAGTCTCACCATGCTGACTTAACTGTATCTTCAAGAATTAAAAAAAAAAAAAAAAAAGTTAAGTTACTTTGCCCAATTACATAGGGGTACAGGCTTAAATCTCTACTCACACAGTTGAGGTTGATGAGCAAACAGCTGTCCTGTATCTTGAGACAGACATTAGCTTCCTGCCTTCCCTATCCTCATAAGCAGCTACTTAAAGTTTGAGTTTTATGCAAGAAAACATTTTAAAGCCTTCAGTGTTTTACTGCAGCAGACTTCAGATTCATTCCTGTAACACATGTAACATGAAACAGAGTTGAGACAATTAAAATTTATTATGTACCATATTTTAATCATCTAAAATTTTAAGAAGTGCTTTCATTATTATAGCTACATAGAAAGGGTTGTTGAAGTAAAATTAAGAAATAAAAACATCCATTTGGTATGTGACACTATTGTATAATGTAACATGTAACAACATGTATGTAACTTCAATCTCCTATAGACTTTTTACATTTGGCCACAGGCTAGGTTAGGATTAATTTTTATAATCGTCTGTCCCCAAAGTAAGCAAAAGCAAGTATTTTTCTGTTTTTCTAAAGCCTGGCTAATTTATTTAGAACAAACCACCACCAACTAAAGGGCACTTTCACAGCCAGTGGAGTGCCCTCAGCGTCCCAAGCGTAGCTGAGTCACAGCTCCTGACAGGGGAGAGTGAGACTCCAGGTCCTGTCGCAACAGCAGGAGCAGCATGTTTCTGACATTTTCCATGGGTTAAAGCACATTTCCTGACAGACTCAAATGTCTATAGCAGCATTACTCCAGGTTAATCAAGAGTTAGAAGGCTTGCCTGCAAAATGAAACTGCATTCCCATAGAAAATATTTTATCCTACTCAAACTGAACTTTCAAAACAAAAAACCAGAAGGTTTGTAAATTAGGAACTACAAAAACAAGATAAAAATCCTTATTTCACCATCCCATTAACAAATATGTATTACATAGGCAG